ACAAACTTGAAGAATGCTCTCATTCTTCAAAAACTCAATTTCAATCCTGGTTCTTTGGCAGAATTTCTAGTACGTCCACCAAGATGCACAATTTGGGCATTCTTGTAAGTCATGAAGAAAGGAGAACAAACTCTTGACGGAAAAGAGATAATGCGGCACAGTAGAACCTGCACACAGGGGTCGCCCTGACATGCACATGAAGCTCCATTTACATGTACAGTATATGTACGTTCATAGCGGAACCAGTCATGCCACGGATACCAGTGTGTCAGTGTTTTCTCTGGTATTACATCACACAGATTTAGTTTCTCAACAGCACCACCAGCGGTCAGATTGTGGAAATTTTTCATAAAACTCAAAGACAAGGTTCAAAAGTTTCGGCAAAATTACAAGAAATACAGACGCAATGCAGACATGATTTGGTAATGAATATATGATTTATTAAACACTAAATGCAATACAGAGTTTCTTTTCAAAACTTTTAAACAGTTGGAGTTGGTCTTTAAGTATGTATGACCATTATGCTTGAACCCTGGCTTGATGAAAATCCAGCATGCGATTTTGATTCATTGCCTTCACCAACTTGGTTTTCAGGGTGTATGCTTTCTTTAGTTTTTCTACTGATTTGGGTAGAGCTATTAATATTCATGACCGAAAATGCTATTTAAGTGGTGGAGATACAGGTGACAGTAGGGGCAGTCTTGACCTGTTGATATTTACATATGATCAGCATTCGTGGGAATGGTCTCTTAATGTGCACATGTGATTTTCTTTTATTACTGAGTTCAGCATTAAGCCAAGAGAAATAAATGAGCCAGCTGTCATTTGCACCTGCTGGTCTTTTGTTGAAGGTGAGCTTTCGCCATGGGTGTAGTGGGGGGGACTACCCCCCAGAATGAAACAGTAAAGGCAAAACAGAAGGAAAAAAGCAACATGAAATATGTAAAAAGAGATAAGGGGATGAAAATCAACACCAATAAGCTGATAAATACCCCCAAATTGGCCCCTTTCCACTATTAATTATTTAACCCCTAACCCCCACTCCCTGCTGCAAATTTGTCCTGGGGAAATCCTCGCAATGCCCATGGTGTTGAAACTAAAATTATCACATACCGTACACTGGACAGCAATTACTGGTATATGCTTTTGCTGCTTGAATGTACGTGTATGACTTTTGGCCAGTGAAAGACTCGCATACATGTACATTGTACCAGTACGTGCAGTGGTTTCATGCGTGGGTGATGAGGGGGAACACAACTTGTCTTCATGGTCTTCCAGTGAATATGTACAAATTAGAGGCATCTTGCCATCTCTGTAAAAGAGGACCACATGTACATGTATATTTAAGTGTTGGAGATACATGTAACAAATGCTACTGCCATGCAGGGTTTATAGCCAGCATTTGAAAAATGGGTGTGTACGCTTTACATAAAAAAGAGTACGTCCAAGTTACAAAACAAGGTGTCCAAAATGGCCTCTAGGGAGTGCAAAACGTGACCAGACAGATGTCCTTTGGTTAAAACATTACTGCAGCATACGTGAGTTACCTTGAGTAGCCATCATGAAATCTTCCTTACTGCCCTGCCACCAGTGTCCTAGCTTGTGTGCTTATTTGACAATTTCAAAAAAATAACATTCATGAACTGTAAATGGTTATGAGCAGGCACAAAAATTGAGAGTACTTCAGTATTTGAGCGGACACACTTTGTTCCTTTATGAGTGTAAACCCTGTAGATATGGATGGAAATCCAAAGAGCCAGTTTTGTCGCATTGTTTCTGTAGACACACAAATACTTGCAGCAGAAGGCACACTTACAGGTGTACCTGAGTTTGTTTCTGCATGCAATTGGGGACCCTGAACAATAGAGGACAATAAGGTCCCCGATTGACAGAGGGTCCCCGATTGACAACTGTGTACAAAACATATGGGTGGTCTTCTAAAAAAGTTTAAGTACGAACAATAGAAGAACAATAGGGGGTCCCCAGTTGCAGGCAAATACACACTTGACTGAGTTTGTACCAGATTCTGCATATGGAAGCAAATATACATGTACTGGTATTGCCTTTCTTTTGCAGGTTGTTAGCACGCCAGAGCAGAGTGAAGCTACAATCAAGACACTCACAGAGTTTGTTGTAAAATTAGGCAAAGTACCAGTCGCATGCAAGGTGAGTACAGGACTGGAATAGGCTGGTTTGACTGATCAATAGGTAGATTCAGAAAATTTGACAGAAGGTTTTTCTGATGTTTAAACACCAGGTCAATCCAGTTAATAACGTTTGACATGTGATAATGAGACAGAAACTGCTGGGGCCACTTTAGAGGTAATGGCTAGTACATAGTACCCACCCATGTACAGTGCAGTGTCCACTTTCATCAAACAAAAACTTGAAATGTGGCTATTGCAATTCCAGACTCATTTTAACAGAGACTTGCATTTACCTTTGTGTTACAAGAGGGCCTTTTCCATTCAATAAGGTGGTCTGCGTAAGGGTTTAACGTACATATATTCCTTTGCCCATGTAAATGTAGATGAGCTACTACAATTATGGTCTTCATTTTGTGTATCTTCATTAATGAATGGTCCAAGTGTGCATCATGCTTTCAATTGACAAAGCTTTTATGTTATGTTTGCCTTCAGGACACTCCAGGCTTCATTGTCAATAGACTCCTTGTTCCTTACATGATGGAATCCATTAGACTTCTTGAAAGAGGTACTGAAATTTGACCATCCTCGGAAGATTGCTCAATACCAAAAAAAGTACAGTTGACTCTTTTAGTAATACAAGCTCCGATGGAACAAGATTCTGGTTTAGATGAGCATATTTGGCCAGTCCTGACAGAAGCATGTACATGTACATTCCTGTGAGGAAAAAAATCTTGGGTGAAATCAGATTTTGGTTAAGACAAGTGCCTTTAGCAGTCGGTTGAGTGCAAAAGTATTGTTATCTATCTATTTAGCACAAGCATTTTCTAAACAGCTCGTCTGTCAACAAGCCCATTCAATAAAAGTGCTGTTGTACTAGGCTCACTGATAATGCTTGCTAATCGAGGACCACGGCTTTTAGATTCCCAAGTGATCAAATGGTGTTCTTTATGGGGGGTTTTCATGCTGCCCTATCCAATTGAAAAAGACAGACGGTGGGCGTTTGTGATTCTCGGGCTATCTGAGGGCCTACATTGTATATAAACAAAGACTCATTCCAAACACCCCACCAAAGCATGGAAAAGAGAAGAGAAATATATCCCTACCCAAGTTAAAAACTAATGTTAAATGCATGTTTCATTAAAATCCGTTGTTCTGCTATGAAATACTACCCAGTCCCTGACCAACATGTACACCCTGTAATGTCCACACACAAAAATTCACTGGTTTCTTTCACTTTGTACATGTGTACATGTAAATTGTAACTCTGTAGTCAGTCACCAACTAAAATGTTAACATGCATGTATGGTACGTGCACATTCCCCGCAACATCAAGGACAGTGCAGGCCACATCGCTTTGACATTGATTGTGATGAGTTCGCGTGCCTTGTCATTGCATTTGATTAATTTTCTTTATTAATTTTTCATTATACAGGTACAGTACATGCGCATTCCACTTACATAAAGAACATGTTTAAATTGTTTGAAAGCAAATTCATTACCTATCAAGAATACATGCGTATGAATCGGCCACATGCACATGATGAGGGTGATCGACAAACAACACATACAAGTGGGATAATCTGCCCCCTTTCAACATTGTTTCCAATATTTTCTAAGGGCATTTCTGTCAGGAGCTGAACTTTTAGGAGTTTGAAGAAGTCCCTTTCCTTTCGTGACACAAATTTTGTGAAAATGCCCACTATTACACAGCGCACATTTTTCTGAGACATGTCAGCCAAAATTGTATGCTTTTCCACTGCCCTGCTTAGTGCACACAGGCTGGTATATATGTAGCCTTGAACTTCAGTGACTGTAACCAAAAAAATCCATGTCTGATTGAGATCAAATTTATGATGAGGATTGTCCTTGCATGCATACCAGGTTTCAAAATAATCAACTGTGGCACAGCGGAGTTCTTGCTGCCGCCATCACCTTCACTCCCAGTTGTGAGATGCCCTGAACTAACCTGGTTGTCTGAGGGCCAAGTACCTTTCCAGTAGTTTTGTATTCATATGGACAGTAGTTCAGATCTGAGACAGCAGGACTGTAAATTTCTTAAGAGTACATGTATTCTGAGCTTTAGTCGTAATTATGGCACTCAAAACTGAGCTTTTATCTTAAAATTTTAGGTGATGCTTCAGCAAGAGATATAGACACCGCAATGAAGCTTGGTGCTGGCTACCCAATGGGTCCATTTGAGTTAGTGGACTATGTAGGCCTTGATGTCACAAAATTCATCGTAGATGGTGAGCTTATGAGTCATTGGTGTGTTTGAAATCAACTGAATCATTGAATGCACTTCTTATTCACATTACTGCTGTCTTATCAACAGCTTGATTCATTATCTTGATCATTTTCTGGATCACAAGAAGATACTGCTTATATCATAAACTAATTTTACAAAAAGATAATTTTATTGTTGGTACTGTATTAGGGATAGAGAACTTGTTATTCATGAAAATTTGTTGCAATCTGTAGAATTATTTACAGTGTTTTTCCTTTCTAGACATCCCAAAAGCCCTATGATAACAGAACATGTACATTGTGATTGAAAGTCAAACTGTGAGTGGTAAAATCTGTTCACACTTTCTCTTTTCCGAAGGCATTTATTTTCAGTTCACAAACTGTAAAAATGTTTCTCAAAGTGGGAAAAGATTTCCACAGATTTTCTCACAAGTGGAAAGGCATGTTCACAGTGTTTCCACAAGTGGGAAAAAGATTTTCCCATGAGTGGAAACAGGTGGAAAAAGCAGCTCAGATTTTTACGCGAGTCTAAAAAGATTTCCGCATATTTTCACACTTAGTTTTTCAATACACATATTTGTTGATATTGAACTTAAATATGTGTTCTTTGAGCTTGAAGTTATATGATTTCTTTGCTGTCACAAGTCTTTAAAAATGTGCATCTCCCAATATGGAAAGCAGAGGATCATCAAAGACAGAGGTACAATCTTTCATTTACTGGAATAAGAAGGCAATTGCTACAGGAAGACCGTGTTACAATTATAAGGCATTGTACTTCTCGGTTTGTCAAGATACAAGGCAAATGGCCATTTGTTTTCAATATTTGCTGGGTTAGCCGGTTACATTGGTAATTACATGTGTTTTCCTACAACCCCCCCTCCCAAATAATTTCCAAGCCAGCTTGCAGCCATTTTTCAAACGACATTCCTCTCCTTTTGAGGCATGTGGGACAATTTTTCAGCCAAAATTTAATCAACTCTCCCCTCGGACATAGCTCCTGTGGCCAATTCATGGAGCTTCTTAAGCACAAAATTTGCTTTAGCATGAAAAAACCGTGCTTGACAAATCAGGTTGCCAGCCAAAAGTCTGTGTGATGTATATTGTTTTAGAATGGTATTCACCTGTGTTTTGGTGAGCATGACAATCACATAGATTTTGAGCTGGTAACCTTTTTTTTGAGCAAGGTTTGTTGCACGTAAGCAGCTCTATGAGATTGACCCCTGAAATTAAGGAGTTGATTCAGGCATACAGTTATATTTACACAATCCCTCCATTTGTTGCAGCCTAACAATCTACTTTTTTCAACAGAAACTTGGGCACTTTTCATGCTAATGTTGCAGCTGAAATTATCCCTTGAATAAGGGTACTGTACATTATGTACCTTCAGACATACCTGAATATTCATTGAGTGTCCTTAGTGTATTATCCTCGAGCTAAACCAAAAGAGGTTGCAATTTTCTAGCAAGGGAGGCACCTTTGGACTGCATTTTGCTGATTGATGAACGACAATGAAATCCCGCATTACAGTCGCATTGCTACAATTGACATGAACACTCATGACCAATATGGCTCTTTTCAACTGATTAAGAGGTGCTTCTGCTTGAGGTGGATAACAAATTTTCATATTGGCAAAATGTCACACATATTGCTTTTAAGGAATTTCCTATTGGCTCATGAAGGCCCATCTCTTATAGCATGTATAGATGAATATAGCTATGCATAGATTCATGTGCTGCTCAGTTCAGAATGCATCCACATTTTGTTATTTGATTAATATTCTGAGTGTGGAATTCAAAATAATTTATCCTTCTCAAATTGCTTTCAATTTTCCATTACTCTTATCATTATTACAAGTTTCCATGACTTTGGGGCCTGGAAATGGAAAATCTGATTCAAAGACTGTCAATGACGGATGGAACCTTGCATCATAGGTGTGGAACACAAAAGCAGAATTTGTTCTAATTTGCATCTTTTGCAATAAGGTTGCATCAGTTCTGCTACAGATTTCGCATCAATTTGCACCTTTTCTCATGTTCCCACAAAAGTTTGCAATTTTTGCAGTCCGATTTTTCTCACTGTTTTGACTAGTGTTCCATGTCACATTTGCAAACATTTTCCACCAATATTACATCATTGTCACACTGCTTCTGCACTTGTCGTATCCAATAGCCTGCATATATGCTGGGTCAGGCGGGGGAAAGTTGTATGCAAATGCGATTGTGAATTCCTTTCACAGTTTTTCCCATTCCTAGTGCTAACTTTCAGTTACAGTGTACTTAACCTTCATGGATGTGAAAATTTCAATTTACTGACAGGGTAGGGTTCCATAACCGTTTCTTTTGTTTTAGGATGGCATGAAAAGTATCCGGATAATCCACTATTCAAGCCCAGTCCTCTTCTAGAAAGGAAGGTGGCCGAAGGTAAGCTTGGTACAAAAACGGGAGAAGGATTCTACACGTATGGAAAGAAGTAAATTTACAACACCGAGGAAAATGGTCTCTTTCGATCAGGTTCAGCAGGGTTAACGATCATCTCACTCATAATGGACATGATCTGAGCCGAAACTGGAAAATTGAAATTATTATTCAGCGAGGGTTTGGGCCTGGGCAGCAGTTAAGACTGGTTTATGAAAGACATGTACATTTGATTTACGTATTTTTCAAAGAGATGCAATTAGGTATTAAAATTATATTTGTTTTGTGATTTTCCGTTGAACGACAACGAAGTTGGTAAACTCTTGAAAAGCATCCGAATGAATAAAATCGTTATTAAAAGATAGTGAGATACATGTATCTGAAAATTCTGTGAAATATAGCAATATCAAACTGGGAACCAAGGAATGATATTCAAAAAAGAGTGTCGAACCCCCCTCCCATTTTCAGTTGCAGACAATAATACAATTTGGCAACATGCAAGTAACTACATGCATGATGTTCATAGAAAAATTGGAAGTTAACCCCGTGGATCACTTTAAAACTGCTTTTGAGAAGGAAGGCAAAATGCTTGATATAGGTGTATTTTTTAATTTGGCCTCATGTTTGGATAAAAAATGTAGGGGAAAAACTGATTGTTAAACTAGTTGACTATAAGTTTATACCTTCACTGATAACCTTTCTTCCATAATGATTGGACAGTTAAGTAAAACCCATACCAGCACAACGTACGAGCTGTTAAAATTGACACACCAATTTGTTTTTTGATGTTTTAAACTTCCAAGCCTTGGAAAGGCAGCTTCATAGTTCAGGCGAAAGCAAATAAATGAACCTGGGCAGCATTTTGTCTTGAGAAGCATTATCCTAGCTAAGGATAGCAACGGCATGCAGTAACTTTGGATTTAAGTTTGTATATTTCTGGTTGCCGTTGCCAGGAAGCAGTTTGCAGCAATGTTTGTGTTTCACAATTCAGAAATCTACTTCAGGTCACTCAAAATATTGAGCGTCATTGGTTACATTCTGCAACTATCCTCGGGATAGAAATTGTGTTCCAGATATCCCAAAGATAGGTCAAACATCGACTTTCCATCGTTGATGAATTTAATTGAATTACATGAACATGAATTTGATTGTTACTGTTTCAAGGTGACAACATGAATAAAATAAATCGGGATTTGAATGGAATTTCTGTTCTCTGTTCATTTGACAAGGGTATTGCGTGAAATTCTAGTAGTAGGGAACGGGTGATACCAGAGCAGACCCTCCTCCCCATTTCCCAGATCAGAATGGACTTTCCAGATCAGAAGGGACTTTCCCCAACCTCAGGGAATTCTCCAACTGCTCGCGGCCTTGCACAAAATTTGGGCTCAACTTACGGGCCAAAAGGCGAGTGACAAAACTCGTGACTTCTTGTCTACAATACCCCGTGACCTTTTGACCCCAAAAGGGACTTGTCCAAAACCGCGTGACCCTTGACCCCAACCAAAAAAGGGACCTTCCCAAAAACCGGGTCGAAAATAAAAAACCTCATTCTCCCAAAGAATAATGAGGCTTAATAAAAATTGAGATAATTTACCTATATATAAATAGAGACATGAATAGAAAAACCAAATCACAACGTAGTCCTGTCTTGGCAGATTTTAGGCGATTGAAAAAATCGTTTCTAGCCGACTTTGTCACACAATACAACATTCCATTACCGCCACCCGCTAAAAAAAGACATGCCAAGCCCGAGCTCGTAAAAGCAATTCAAGCGAGTCAACGGCAATTTAGAAATCTCACCCGACAATCATATCACCAGCTTTTAAAGATAGCACAAGATAATAACTTTGAATTTACGGCCACGGGGGCCAAAGGAAAAGTATTGCGAACAGATTCGATCGTTTGGGTGCAGCCGATGCTAATGCCTCTTTTAACGGAACACGGCCCTTTCTATCCCTCGGGTTTTAAAGAGCCTTTGATGTATCAACTGACTTTTAATTCACACGGCAAAGTGGTCAAAAGCACAGACACGTCAGCCGAGTACAGCATTTCAGATTTGACTTTGGAATATGAAGTTGTCACTAATTACAACTTGGCTAAAAGTTTGCGGCAAAAACATAAGGGACTAGTGTACTACTTATTTGACAGGATTCATTCGTGGAAGAAGCAGACGGTAAACAAGTCGCATACGTTTTGGAATATCAACATTGACCAAAAAAGTAAAAGATTGAAAGGCGTTTTGGTACTTTTCAAAGATCCCACGCTGCCAAACCCGCAAAAATTTTATAACCTACACATCACTAAAACGAGCGTAACGGTCGAAGGCAAGCCAAATCAATTATATTCGCAAGGACTGTTCGAATACCAGCACTTTGCAGAAATTTGCAAATAGTTTGGAGATTCAGACACAGAAGCGGGTCGAGCGGTTGTAAAAGACTTAATTTAACCGGCGTCGACATGGCCAGTTGTTTAAAAGACAAATATGGCTTGTGGCTCGATTTCAGGAGTTCCGACGACAATTCGGCTCACGGATCAGGTAGGCCGCTTGGAGGGGGTGGTGATATTTCGATTCAAATGGAAAGAGCTGTAGAAACTGCGGGACCCTTAATTAATGATGTACGTATTTTTAATAATGGATGCACAATTGACGGTTGAGGACGGTAATTTTAAGAGTCTAGTGTTTTAAGTATTAAAAGCCGATTTAAGTAAAAAGTATGAGTCAGAGTGGCAACATGTATAAAAATCCACATTGTGCCTTAATTGTGGGCGATACTGGAAGTGGCAAAACATAATGGGTGCTCGATTTATAAAGTATATATTTACGTATGAAGTTGTAGTAATAATTTGCCCAACCCTTTTAACAACCAAATGTATTAGGAGCGGCTATGGATATATGCCAAAAACAATGTTTATTTATGCGACTTGGAAAAAGAGAAATTAGAATTAAACGAGGTAATTGACTTGTATCAAAAAGTTTTTGAAGGAGTAATTACGCTGTTTATCATTGATGGTTATGCCGCTAATCAATTTATCAAGTATAAAAAGAAATCTGTGCCCTGAGTCAATTAGCTTTCAATGGCAGACATTATTTGCATTCCTGTTGGTTGTTGACGCAGAAATATAATGCCGTTTTGAAAGACTACAGGAGTAACATGGATGGGTGGCCTTTTTCTATTGTAAAGATAAATCGTCCTATGATAAAAATGCTGGACGAAACCGGGCGTGGTACCATACGAAGAGTGTGATCAACTGAAGCAGCATTTAAGAAATTTTAAATTTAGTAAATTAGTTGTCAATACCAGGCCGCCTGTGTCATATTTGCTTGAATAAAAATGAGAACATGTAGGCCTATTTATGTAATGTTAAAATTAAGATGGAAAAAAAGTCTGCAATCGCTGCCATAAATTAAAAGATTTGAATTCTTTTAAAGTTAAAGACGATTGTAAAATATGCGTTGGTTGTATCAGCTGTAACGAATCCGCAAAAATTTCCAGTGACCAGCACAAATGCACTCGCGGAAAATAAAAACGTCAATGTATCGAATGCGGTGGATCTTCAATTTGTGAACATGGCAAGAAAAAAAAATGACTGCAAATTGTGCAACGACCCAATTAAAGTTACAATTAACAAACGCTATGCTATGAAGACAAAAACACAACCGATTTGACCCTAGCCATTTCATAGACACTGACTTCTGCTGTGGTTTAATTAGAAGGTTATATGTATTGCTTTTATCCAGATTGTAAAGTGAAAATGAAGCTTTTAGAGAAGAAACCTAACTTGTGTACCATTAAACGGTTAGACAACTCTATATGCCATATTAAAAACAACTGCGTCTTATCTTGCTGGAGTTGCAACTTAAAGAAAAAATCTAACAAACTCAAATTAACTGACGAGCTAGAATAAATTACTTATTATTTATTTAAAATTTGTTGTTAATTGCTTGAACTAAGATAATGCAGCTTAGTTCAAGCTTTTTTAAATTTTGTTTAAACTAAATAATAACTATGCTGGAGTATATTCAATTTGTTATTGAATTAGTTGTAGCAGTTAACTTTACCTATTACACTTTGGAACACCTACGTGTAAAACACGCGTTAAACAAATTTAAAATCCATATAATAAAATGGACAACATTAAATCAATCCTCAGCAAGTCAAACGTCGACACACAAAGCCCCGAATTTAAACCCAATGTAAAAGATAGACTCCGTTCAGTAGTAGCCTCTGGCGAATCAAAAAAATATTTAGGCAAAGAATACACCGTGAAGGACATTGAAACTCTAACTCCGGCAGGCCAAGAAAAGCTTTTTAATTTATACTAGGTCCGTTTTGGACGAGAAATTGTCAGTACACTTGGCAATGCGATTCTAAGTTTATACGCGCGTCTATTAGACATTGCTACACCCATAAAATTCCTAGGTTTTAACGTCGACCTGAAGTCGGAAGAAGACCCAACAAAAGATTTAAACAACGACCCAATCATTAGCCAAACAATGAGTCACTTATTGAGCGAGCTCTGTTACAAGTACGGCGTATATCCGTCACCCCTGGTAGCAACCTTAATTGTGACAAAACATTTAGCTGTGAATAAAAGTTCATATATTTTAAAAGAACATGTCAACAGAACAACAGCCCACGACAGCACCGGAGGCAGCACCGAACCCAGCCCCGAGTCCGGCCAAAACACAGTTGCAGACGGTGACAAAAGTTAAATCAGAAATAAAATGTATAGAACAGTCGCAGCCAACAGAAATGTGATATTAGGCGGTTTAGGTGGCATCGCATTAATTTTAATTTTGAAAAACAAGTCAACGCTGCCAAAAGTTCAAACTTTTTAAGCACCGCCAAAAGTTCAGGTGACCGTACCCATCCCGGAATTTTAGACATGGAATAGTTTTTAAAGCGGGTAAATTTAAAAACTGTATACAAGTAATAAGATGAGTAATGCTAAAGCTGTAGACGTAAATGGCATTGCCAATACCTTGTATCACGGACCCGTGGTTAGCCTTATTTCCATGGGATATGCCATGTTGAGTAACAAAATATTTAAAATTAAACCGCCCGATTTAAATAAATTGCCGGTAGAAGACGCGATAAAATTGACCGCAGTGTCGAGCGGTACATTGGCCACACAAGGCTGGCTCGTGTCACAGGGAATTTTACCTGCAAGTTTGCCAATGGGTTAAACAGCAAGTTTTTAATAAAGTAAAGTCAAAATAAGAACCAGTTAATTACAAAGTGCCTTGGCAAAAGGCGGATTTTACCCGGAAGAAATACCCCTGTTGGACAGAGGGGAAGCAAATACAATTTATGACGACGATCAAAATTTTGAAGACTCTTTAGACACCATTGACATTGACAGTAAACTCGATACAACTTTTTTTACTTATGGCTCGGTCAGACCAAAATTAGCAGTTGATCCGAGGCCAGATACATTAGAGTTGGATACGAGGCAATTTCAAACAAATCCCACGGTGAACCAATTTACGCCCATTATAGATAGCGACCGGACGTGCCAAATTCGCCCCAGTGCGAAATTTTTGAATATCGGCCAAATAGTGGATTATTTCTCACGGGCACAGATGAATATCCTAAAGAACTATTATTAACGAGCGAAAAAAGTCCATACACATTAGTAATCTTGAACACTATAGCAGACCGCGCTAGAAAAGCCGGCTACTCGGGATCGGCATTTGTGAGAGACATTTTGGGATTAAAAGATTACGGCCGAAAAATAGCAAAGGCTGGCAAAAGTTTAAAAACGATTCAACCCAAAACGAAAGTGTTGAAAGAATTACCCGGAGCGGCCGAGCAAGTAAGCGAAATCGTGCAAGACGTTACAGAAGATGAGTAAATGCAGACCAAATTTAATATGCGAGAATGGAAAGCTCTAAATAAATCGCTACAGACCACAAAAGGCGCGCTGATTTTAAACCAGGGTAAATTGGATCAGTTGGACAAAAAAATTCAAGTAGTCAAAAATGAACTGGAAGAAGCTGGAACCGATGCCGAACGAACGGAATTGTTGGAACAACTGGAAGACGCTGCAGACTAGAAATCATCAATAAAGATACCGATAAAATTCGAAGTCAATTCAACTGCATAAAAGATACCATCGAAGCTGTAATGGACAGAAACTTGACACTGGGCGAAAAGATCCGACTGTTGTTTACAGAACAGGCATCACGATAGCGAGAATTT